CAACGAGTTGACGGTCAGCGGCATGCCCTTGGTCAGCGCTTCCGGCAAACACTCGAAGAATACGCAGTTGCTTCGGACCCGCGAGTAGTTCGTCGAGAACATGACCGTGACGACGACGGTGTAGAAGGCACCGAACGAGGCTATGGCGGTCATTTCATACCACGGCAAATTTTTACTCACCCTGCTTCGGTAGAACAACGGAAAGCAAACGGCCATGAACACTTGTGCAGCTATGCAGCATAATGGCAAAGGAACAACGGCGAATGCCACTGCTTGCACCAACGGATGAACTTGTCGAAGGCATCTGTACGCCGGAACCAGAGGCTGTTCCTTGAGAGACATGTCGTAAACGATTCTATAGATGTGCTCAGCTGTACGAGAAGTGGCGAGGAAACCCTCGGCCAAAAAAAGGCCACCGAACAAAACGAACTTTTTACGAATGTTGGCAGTAGTGAACGTCATGATGGCTGCCAACGAGCAGAGAAATACTCCCAATAGAGCAATGGTAATTAGAATTGCTGGAAACATAAGACTTTCATTCTCGCCGATGTAGGAAGCATTTGACTCGTTAGACACCGTGTTCATCGCTGTAGGTTCCTCAGTCAAAACGGTTGCGATTCAGGTTGCGCCGTATAACCACGGATATAGGGATCTTCTGTCGTGTCGTTCATACTTACGAAAAACGTTTGTGCAAAAAAGACAAAAATTTCGCAACTCATATTATCCTCCAATTGTGCTCAAATGCTTTGGGCTTTCTTCCGCTTAGCGTTCAATTGAAAATTGTTACGACAGCAAAACTAAAAATTCTTCATTGATTCTATCGATTTGACATTACAAGTAGTTCAAACCTTTCGTCTTCACTACATCCTCTGTTATGAATCGGAAAATGAGGGGATGTGCGTGCGTGCAATGTTTTCGTTTAGACTTCTGCAGACTTATCAGAGCATAAAGTTACAGCTTCTTAATGACTCGTTTCTAATTAGGTAAAATCCCCTACGTTCATTGATTTTGAAAGGGGGACCGTCCACTTTGATGCAGAGAAGTTCAAGTATCAAGTCAGTCATGCAGCGTCCCACGTGGAGAACAACAGCATATTTCTCGTTATGGAGACGTCGCAGCCTCACGGTACTCGTATCTGTTGGATCGCAGCCTTAAACCAAACATCCTCGACGGCGGTGTCAGGTCAGATTCGTCAGCAAGAACACGAAGCAGCCCAGGAACGTGACAGAAACGGTAACTTTTCGCCAAGAAAGAACCGTGGTGAAGCAAGTGTCATTAAAAGACCCTGATTACATGACAAGAGCAAATCGTTTTCTTCTGGAAGTGGTTAACAAGAGTCATCGCAAGGACAGGTAATCTCGCGTTGAAGCTGGAAATGGGTCCGGCAAAGGATATGCTGAAGATACTGTACAGCCATGTGAGTGCCATCGCCAAATGTGGCAAACAAAATCGTACCACTGGCTTGTTATACGGTAGGTCACATGAGTCGCTACAAGACTCCGATGACCGTCGGAAACGATGGACCGAGCACTTCGCAAATCTACTTAATGTACCTGGTCGATCGATGCGGTAGACGTTGAAATGGAAGAGGGTAGACTTGAGACCTCCATGTAAACCATGCCTCACCATCTGTGGAAGAAATTCGAGAAGCGAAGCGTACCCCGTACCCTTCGAAGCTCTAGCATCGCGGACAGGACGGGATTGGTGGGTATTTCCTGAAGCATGGCGGCGAAAACCTTCTCATATGGATCAGTGTGGTATGTGGCAGCACTTGGCGGAGGTTAGAGAGTTACTGAAACTGAAAAATTGAAAAAATAGATGAGGTCATCTCGATGTTCAAATCTGAGAGTTGCTCCGATTGCACAACGCATCGAGGAAACACTTCGATGGAGAAAGTATTCCCGCAGATCAGCCTTGGGTGGTTTAGTGAAAGCCCTCTAAGCAGGTTATGTTCCATTGTATTACGGCACTTGAAGTGCATAGATGCAAAACAGTACCCCTGTGTTGAATCGAACAAAGACATGTTCGAACACCAGCTGATGTATTTCGATCCAATCCGTATGCGTGTGCCTACGCAAAGTTTGCACAGTGATGTTGTAATGGCATAATGTGGAAATAACTACGCACCCATTGTATGCACAAAGTTGCTTAGTTTCTTGAGTCTGGTCTACCCCTACATAAAATGAGGATGACACCACTGATGCAGATGAACAGACATCACTGCAAACGGCATGAATGTTGATGTTACGTGTCAGAGTTCATAACTTATGATAGAGACATGCTGGTATTGATGTTTTAAAGGCCGAAGCGTAAGACATACCACATAACGGGTAAAATGGACATGAAAGACCTTGTCCTTAAATACTTGTTTTGCCTCACATAAATGAGGAATCTAAAGTTAATTTCCGCTTTTCAGTAGTTCGATAACAGACTAATGAAATTCACGCTATGATCACGTGCACATGGGATCTTATACTCGAAAGAGTGAGATAATGAGCTTTTGAATAGCAGGTAATAACTCAAAAAAAAAAAGAAAATAACATGTTTAAAAATGAATCTTTAATAAAATATTACCACGCATTTGTTATCTTCTTTTAGCCTTTGTTCACATTTTCACATTCTTCGCTGAAGCTGCGATAAAATGCATCGGGAAATGAGTTTGAAAATAGCTTTGGATATTTTCTTATTCTGCTGTTTTTCAATTTTAAGGTAACCTTCTTTAGTCTCCGGTTTTAAAACATCTGAATAAGCCTGGTTACATGGAACAATTCAATGGCCACATGTCTCAAAACACCCGTTTATGAAGCTGTTTATGAATAATTCGCGAGTCTGCCATTCTTCCAACTATAATACGAATGAACTGAATACGTCAGTGCGCATGAATTAAATAAGTTGCATTATATTAACCAGTCGAAAATGCACGTCTAATAGTTTGTATCGTGAATAAGTTACGATACA